GCCCACAAAATGGAAGTCATCTGTGTTCACGCAGATCCTCCGAGGAGCAGACGCCCAGACTGGCTTAGACTTGCGAAAGATTCCCTGAGGATTTATGTATCCCCTGGGTGGGATAAGGGGGCGCAGCGGGGGGGGCAGGGGAGTCTTCACACTGTGCTGCTAGCCTGCGAAAGGAGAGGGGGAAGGAAGGACTGTGTAGGAAGAGCCTCGGCGGGCAAAAATTTCAGCCCAGCCCAAGTCACCTGTAAGGGGGCTCCCAGGGGGCTCAGGTGTCGCTGTGAGCAGCCCCCCCGCCCCCGCCCCTGAGTATGGCCTTGGCATGAACTTGGTGGTCCACAGGGGCGGGAGCTCCGGCTGTCAGTCAAGCATGCTCTTCAGAGCAGACTCTCTTGAAGGAGATCTGAGCGGTGCACTCTGGCTGCCACGTCATCAGAGAAGCCTCAGTTTGCTTATCTGTCAGCTGGGTAGAATAAAATAAGAATTTTCGGGTGCTGAGGATTGGAAAGCGCTTCAGGAGCCATGGAGCGGATGATTGGTTATGGATGCTGAGCAGCCCAGACGTGCAGCGTTGCGTCCTTCCTAGCATTCGGGTCGAAATTCAGGATGTGCTGCGACCAGAATCGCCTGTGGGTTGTTTGTGTCTATGTGGCCTCGTCAGGTTTCTCGTGCTCCTGAGGCTCTGCTTCCTCATCCGTACACCGTGGCGGGGCCTGTTCTCACTGTGCACTGAGCATAGAAGGAGGACCTTTGGGAACGAGCAGCATACGCCCCTGTTCCTATTTTCCCGCAGATCTCCTGTCCCGGCTCAGACGGTAACAGCAGAACANGGAGGACCTTTGGAAACGAGCAGCATACGCCCCTGTTCCTATTTTCCCGCAGATCTCCTGTCCCGGCTCAGATGGTAACAGCAGAACGGCAAAGGACCCTGAGCTGGGAGGCTCAGGCTCCAGAGCGACGTCGGTGCGTCACTGCCCCCTGCTGGTCAGGTGCGGTGGTTCCGGAGAGGACTGGGTCTGGGGAGAGGGCCCCTGTGGGAGGCGACCAGGGGATGGCTCTCTCTCTCTCCCTCCCCTCCCTCCCTTCCAGGCCCTGAAAATCAATGGAAAAAATACCCTCGTGTGAGGATTAAAATAATAATAATAAAATAAAAGTTCAATCTCCCCTCTTATATCTCAATGACAAGAAGACAACCCGATTCAAAAGCGGGGAAAGGACCTTTTTCGGACAACATTTTTTCCATTGCTTTTCAGAGAGAGTGGAAGGGAGAGAGAGAAGACACACACACACACACACACACACACACACACACACACACACACGCTGGCATTGAACTGGAGACCCTTCAGTCCCCGGGGCCAAGGCTCTAACCACTGGCCCAAACCAGCTAGGGCGGGAAAGGACTTTTTCTCTAAGAAAATACACAAATGGCCAATGGGCACATAAAAAAATAAAAATAATAAAAAAAGCTCAAGCCCCCGTGATGTGCACTCAGGGACAGGCAGGTGGAAACTCCGCGCGACGCTCCCTCTGACCACCAGGATGGCTCTTCTTTACAAGGTGTAAGATCACAAGTGCCGGGGAAGATGTGGAGAAACTGGAACCCTTGTCCGGCTCGTGGCTGGTGGGAGTGGAACATGACGCAGCTGCTGTGGAAAACCGCTTGGTGGGTCCTCAAAAACGTCAGCGGAGGACCCAGCGATTCCACTCCTAGGCTTTCACTGGAAACAGCTGGAAGCAGGGCCTCCGACACTTGATCCAGAACTCACGGTAGCAGCACCCGTAACAGCCAGAGCTGGGAACGCCCTCCGCGCGGTCAACCGAGGAGCAGGTCTAGGAAATGGGACCTATCCGCACAAAATATTATTCAGCCGTGAAAAGGCATAAAATACTGATATGGACTAAAATGTGGGGGAATCTCGAAAACATTATACAAAGTGAAAGAAGCCGGTCACAAAAGAACACATATGATTCCATTTATGCGAAATGCCCAGAATAGTTAAAGCCGCAGAGATAGAAAAAAAAAATTTGTGGTTACCAGGGGCTGGTGAATCCATAGCAACCGAAATCAGACTGATGGTTGCCAGGGGCTGTGGGGGAGAGGGAGGGGCTGCCAATGGGCACAGGGATTCCTTTTAAGGTGATGAAATGTTTTGGAACTAGAGAGAGTTGCTGGTTTCGCGACACTGTGAACGTCCTGAGCGCCACTGAATTCCACGCCTTACAGTGGTCACCTTTATGTTCTGCGACTTTCCCCTCAATTTAACCACGTTCAACCCCAAGCCCATCTTTCCTTCCTTCCTGGCTTGATTTCCCTCTGACTTACCTATTGGTTCTCCTGTTTCTTTAGAATATGAGTTCCAAGGGGGAAAGGATTTGGGTCTCTTTTGCTAACTCACATACCCCTCAAAGAGTCCCTGGCACTCAGTAAATACTTGTTAAATAGATGAATTAGGAAGCGCGTGGTGATGAGGCGGAGTCTCGGCCCCAGCCCTCCACCCCCGTCTCCAATTCTAATTATTTTAAAAAGTATGTTTATTGATTTCAGAGAGAGGAAAGGAGAGGGAGAAAGAGAGAAACAGCAATGATGAGAGTCACTGACCGGCTGCCTCCTGCACGCCCCCTGCCGGGGATCGAGCCTGCAACCCGGGCCTGTGCCCTGACCGGGAATCAAAACGTGATCTCCTGGATCCTAGGTCGATGCTCAACCGCTGAGCCAACCCAGCCGGGCTAATTCTAATTTTTTAAAATTTTTATTTTTATTGATTGATTGATTTTAGAGAGAGAGAGAGGAAAAGGGGGAGTGTGTGTGAGAGAGAGAAACATCGATCTGTTGGCCCACTTATTTATGCATTCTTTGGTTCATTCTTGTATGTGCCCTGACCAGAGAGAGCCTGAACCCCAAACCTTGGTGTATCAGGAGGATGCTCTAACCAACTGAGCCACCTGGCCAGGGCTGGTTCTAATTCTAATGGGCTTCGGATCTTCAGCCACTCTGTGGCCCCCAGAGCAATTCATCGGTGTCAGACAGACATGAGCAGAGCAAGGACGACAGGCCAGGGCAGAAAGGCCCGGATGCCCAGCAAGGAGTGAAACTGAAAAAACAAGAACCTTGGCCTCAGGGTAACCTATCCACCCTCCCTCCGCCCCCCAGCATATCATATCTGGTCATGCGGTTTAGGCCCCCAGACCTTTCCTCCCTAAAGATAACACCTAGGCCACAGTTGTATTTCAGCTCCAGGCCCAGAAAAGCAGCAAAACCAGACAAGCGGTGCTGTGGCTGCCTCAGGACCAGCTACATCAACTAATGACCCCCTGCCCCGGCACCAAAGGACCACGACCCTGAAAGAGCGCACCTGGAAAGCCGACGAATATTCTACTGGGACCCTCCCCTGAGACCTCCCCCAAGATTTCCACCTGCAAGAAAAAGACAAATACGCTCAGGACAAAGGACCCAGCGTGTGCTCCCCGCCCCCCTGGAGTACACAGGCATGATCCCCTTCTCCCCTCCGAGGGGACCCCACGAGACTTGCCACCAGGGGAGCAATGGGCAGCAGCAGCTTGTCCTGGGTTTACCCCCAAACCTGTCCCAAGGCCCCTTCTCTCTCTCCGACTTCTCAGTGAGCCAAAGCAGCCCAGCCTAGGCTCTCCTGTTGCTTCTGTGCCCGTCCTTGTTTCACTGCCCCGCGTATATTTTTGCGGCCACCATGGACCCAATACCCTTTGGCTCAGTGCTGTGTAGCCTTTCCTTAAATAAACTCAATTTTTCTTAATTCGCCATCAGAGATCACTATTTAGCCTGCCCGAACCACCCACCTTAACCTTTCAATCCTGACTCCAGCCACAGCTCCGAGGCCACCTGCTCCCCGAGCCAGGAGGACAGGGCTCCAGCTGTGCACAGGTGGCCAGGAAGGGCTCAATGACCATTCACGGGACGGCCGCCCTGACACAGCCCCGTACCGGGCCCTAGGCCGAGCATTCGTTGGCTCATTCGTTCATCCAGTGAGAATGAAATGCTCCACTTTTGCCTGGAGGATCTGAGCCGGCACTCAGCTTGGAGCTTCAGATAAACGGCTCCTGGCGCCTTCGACATCTTAGCTTTATCGCCTCCGAGGAAGCAGGGCCCCGGGGCCACTTTTAAATCCAGATCCTAAGCTGACCGTTTTATACAAAACCCGCTTTGCTTTGGGCCTGCTCAAATCTGCTTTCATTTAAATTTAATCTAAATCCCGCCATCTCCCAGAATCCTAGGACAACTCTGTCCCTTCGCTTGGGGATGCCCGAGGTTCCTCTGGCCGGGGCTGTCCTTCATCGAGGGGGTCGGAACCTAGCTTTGCTGGGTGGCAGGTTTGTTCCTGGTGGTCTTAGGCTGATTGGCCCAGGTCATGGGTGGACCTCCCGGGGCACAGAGCAGGAGAAAGAGAGGAGCTAGAGGGCCACGCGGGAAATTTCCAGCATAGAAAGAAAGTCCCTTCCCCCCGCCCCAGCAAATCTAATTCCCTGCCATCTACAGACTAGAGTGTTGTGAGGAAGTGGCGGGGGGAGACCTCCATTCACCCAGAGTTCCTACACATCTGGGGCTGAATAAAGGGCTGTAGAAAACGAACCCATCAGTTGCTGAGTGAGGACTGAGGCAATGGAAAGATCCGGGCCCTCTCCTAAGGCACAATGGGAGCACTGGGCTTCCTGACATTTGAAGGGCCACCCCTTTGCCCCAAATGAAATGAGTCAAAAAAAGTGAAAGCGAAAAGGGGCAGAGGCAGAATTCCAAAAAACGCCCTCCTCTGAACACCCGCATTGTGCAGGCCTCTGGGGGAGGCCGGCTGGGGCGGGGTCAGCTGCCAGGCCGGCCTGTCGGACTTGACTTCCCTTGTTTATCTCCAGCCACATCTGGGCAGCTGCCAGGGCCCGCCCTCGCTCTTCCAGCATTGGAGGAGCTCAAACTTAAAGCTCTTCGTAAAAGACCAGGCTGGTTCATTTCCTCTCACTGCATGGCCTGTCTGGGAAGGCTCAGCCCTGGGCGAACCCTGGGCCAGCCACGGGGCAACGGCCGAGAGTCACCTCTCACCATGCCAGCCCTCTGGGATGACATCTTCCAGTACGAGACAGACAAAGTGCTCCGGATCCAGAGCACGAACTATGGCACCATTAAGTGGATCTTGCACATGATTGTCTTTTCTTACGTTAGGTAAGTGGGGGATGGGGGTGACCCCAGATCTCTGCGGTGGTTGCCGGCGCAGGAAACCCCAAGGTACAGGTTCTGGTGCACATCCTGAGTTCCATGTGGTTTTAAAATCTGAGCTGTGGGTCTCACAGCGAGCTGGCGGGGAAGGGGGGCTGTCAAGGAAGCAGCTGGCAGGAGGAAGCAGTGCCCGGCGGCTACAGAGAGGCACGGGAGGGGAGCGTGACGCTCTGGGTTCCATGCCAGGCCTGCCGGGAATGGCAGGAAAACACGGGGCAACGCCCTAGGTTCCCAGGGGGAAGGCCAGGAATCTGGGCGCACCTAGTGAGGATGCTGGCAGTACCTGAGTCAGGACTGCTTAGGGGCAGGAATAGGACCAGACTTGCAGATGGAACGCTAGGTCTTCTCCAGGGTCAGGGTGGCTCTCCTTGCTCTTTTCTTTTTATACCCAAGAAAATTGGAAACATGTTCATGCAAAAACCTGTACACAGATGTTCATAACAGCATTATCCAGAATAGCCCCAAAGTGGGAAACGACCCAAATGTCCACCACAAAGCAGTCCATCCACACAAAGGAATATTACTCAGCCATGAAAAGGAGTGGAGTACTGACGCACGCTTCTACATGGGGGGGCCTTGAAGGCGCGATGCCCTGTGGAGGGAGCCAGACACAAAGGACCACGCACTGTATGGTTCCATGTACATGAAATGTCCAGAGCAGGCAAATTTATAGAGACAGAAAACAGATCAGTGGGTGCCTGGAGCTTCAGGGGGTAGGAGGATTGGGAGTGATAACTAAGGGGCGTGGGATTTCTTTTTGAGGTGATGAAAATATTATAAAACTGTGGTGAAGGTGATGAAAAACCGCGATAACTTGTACGCTTTCAGCGGGTGAATCGTACGTACACGATGCAAATTATATCCCAATAAGCTGTCAGAAATAGGTCCCGTGACGGCCCTTTCAAAAGTAGAGAAACGAAGGATCACGATGGTTTGGTAACAAAATAAAAGCTTAACGCTTACTTGGGATATTCTAAGTTCATTACATGAATTAATTCAGTTGATCTTGACAACTCTCTAAGGGTTGGCGAGTGGGCGCTGGTTTATTGCTGATTTGCTGTTTTCCCACGATTTGATTCATATGTTCACTACGCAACAAATATTTAATAATAAACACATGTGCTAGAATTCTAAAACAAGACACATTACTTAGATAGCACAGGACAGTAAAAAGCACAGTTAGTAAATGCTCCTGCGTAGGTCACATGTGGCAATTCCGTGTAGCAGATGATGTAACTTCCTGGTATTCTCTTAAACACAGATTATTGTACATAGAAGAGCAGATTGTTATGGGAACATCTTGCAGTGACAACTACGTTTCTTGCCTATGGTGGAATCTTCCTTTCCATGCATTTAATTCCCTTAACGTCAGTTATACACGTCCCCTGGGGCACGGGGAGGGAGCACCATGAAAACTGCGCACGGATTCGGTGCCCGGTGCCCGGAGTCGGCGGGCGGGACACCCAGGTGGGGGACACCCAGCCTCTGCCCCCGCGCGCTTCCCGTAGTGAGCACTTCGCTGCCCCATCTGTGGATCTAAATACGCGTCTTCCATCCAACGTGTCCCCTGAAATAAGCCGCCTCTTTGAGGTTCGCCTCCCTTTCACTTTCCAAAACCGGACAGACAACATGCTGTTCCAGAGCCGGAGGGAAGCGGGCTCTGGCGGCTCCCTGGGAGGGGGAGGCGTGTGGGCCACGCCTTGTGCACACGGTAAGGCTCCAGCCAAGGCAATCTGGCCGAGACGGACTTTTTAAAAAATCGTCACCCGAGGATATTTTTTCCATTTCTTTTTCAGAGAGAGTGGAAGGGGGGAGAGAGACCGAAACATCGATGTGAGAGAGACACATTGACTGGTTGCCTCCCACACGCACTCCGACCAGGGCCCGGGATCGGGCCTGCAACCCAGGTACCTGTCCTTGGCCGGAATCGAACCCGGGACCCTTCAGTCCTCAGGCTGACGCTCTAATCACTGAGCCAAACCTGCCAGGGCTTATTTCTCCTCTTGTTCAAAATAGCAGCCCTGATTCCTCGGGCTCTGTGTCCCCAACACGGCGTCTAGGCCTTGACCCTCTCAGCCAAGCCCACACAGCCACACTCTTGTTCGTCAAGCCTTCATCAAGGGAGCATGTGCACTCTCGCTTTGCTGGTGCAACGGTCCAGCCTTTTGTGGTTTCAGCTATGAAACGGTAACATCTGCAAGTTTTCCTTAACGTAGAAAATGTGCCTTAGGTGTGAGAAGATGCTTGTGCGAGTATGTGCCTGGCAACATGGGGAAGGCGGGTGGAGGGGCAATGAAGCACAGCGCTCATGAGAATAAACTGAGCCTCCCATGGGGAGACCAGCTGCCTCCCCGACCCCCAAGATCAGGAACCTGGATGTGTTAACTTATACGGTAGAACTCTGCAGATGTGATGAAGTTCAAGGTCGTGAGCTGGAGAGGTCAGCCTTGATTATCTCAGTGGCCCCCATGGAATCACGAGAGTCCTTGAAAGAGAGAGGCAGCCCGGTTGGCGTGGCTCAGTGGTTGATCGTCAGCCTATGAACCAGAAGGTCACGGTTTGATTCCCGGTCAGGGCACATGCTTGGGTTGTGGGCTCGGTCCCCAGGAGGCGGCATGCAGGAGGCAAAATAAAAAAAGATTTTTAAGAAAAAGCGAGAGAGGCAGGAAGGTCAAAGGTAGAGAAAGG